TTTTTTACTTCATTCTAACTTTCTAATTAATTTTTTTCGAATTCTAAATTCAAATCGAGAAAAGGAAACTGCGGTGAATTTGAATGGATCTAGAGGAAAGAAACTTGTGTGCTCTATTACATTATTTTGTTTCCAATTATTAAATTTATTATTATTGATGCTACTACGTCTATTATAAAATTACCAAAGACTTCTCTTGATAGTGTGCTTAAGTCGAAGAGTTGTGTTTAGGAATTAATTGTATGGAATGAGTAAATACCAAAGTGGATATTTATTTTTCTATTCTATTGGAGTTTCCTTTCCCTCTTCTTCTTCTTTTTTTTTTTTTGGATGCTTTAGTGATTAGGCATTTGAAATTAACTGCATAGAAGATTGGGGATAACTAAGAATTGATATTGGCAAATGGCTAACGGGAAGCCAGTGAATGAAACAGTTTACAAATATGAATAAATCAAACTGGAATGGCTGCAAGATTTTGAGTAGATGAACGAAAATTTTTTGAAGTCAAACCATTTTTAAAATTAGCTAGGTTGCCCTTTAATAAGATCATCACAATCTCTGAATCACTGAGAAACAACGGAAATATGTGCAGCTTCTGGTTTATCTGGCCTCGGCTGTGTTAACATTGCATATGTCACAATGAGAGATGACAATTAAAGGTATAGCTTAAGTGTTAGTTTGGTACCCTTAATGGTATATTCAGAGGAATTTGTTGCTCATTCTTCAAGTGTGAACTGCTTAAAGATTGGGAGGAAATCATCAAGGGTTCTTGTGACTGGAGGAGAAGATCATAAGGTCAACCTTTGGGCCATTGGAAAGCCCAATGCCATACAGGTGAGTTCAATACTCACTTTGCATTTTCTTTTTTGGGGCCTTGATGTTTTCTTATACCTTTTTTCAACCTTCTTATGTTATACTGTACTTTTTTTGGGTTTTACAAACTGCCTTCCCCTTCACAACCCCTAGCTAAAAGACTCGAACTATGACCATTTGCAGGCAGTATGATAACTTAACCTGTGGATGATCCTTAATCTATTTATTATACCTGCATCACCTTTTTATAGCTTAAGAGAACCACTCCTTGTTTCATTATGAAACTATGGATTGCCGTATCTGATAGTTTCTTGTTTCATAAAATTCAACTATTTTTCCCCTTTTCTGGCCATCACGATATTTGTAGAAGCATTATTAAGAATGACACCTATCCCCTTATCTTTTCTCATTGTTTATTGTACCCTTGGCTCACTGGCTAGAGTTTGTCCGGGCATTCGAGTGGAGTTGATTCCGTAAGCTTTGATTCTTCGGAGGTGTTGGTAGCTGCTGGAGCTGCAAGTGGTACAATTAAGCTTTGGGATTTAGAGGAGGCTAAGAGTATGCATTCTGTAACCCATTTATTTATGCACGATGAGTTGTATTTTAACATTCCTTTCAAACACAAGAAAATCACTTTATGTTTGACTTTGCTTTTTGTGTGATTGATAGTTATTCGCACTCTCACTGGTCATCGCTCCAATTGTATATCGTTGGACTTCCATCCCTTTGGGGAGTTCCTTGCATCTGGATCTTTGGATACAAATCTAAAAATATGGGATATTCGAAGAAAAGGGTGTTTACATACATACAAGGGTCATACACGAGGTGTTAATGCCATCAGGTTTACACCTGATGGCCGCTGGGTGGTGTCTGGTGGAGAGGACAACACTGTGAAGGTTAGATCTTTCAATTTCTTGGTGTTCTTTTTCCTTTTGGTTTCCCATTATTGTGCCTGTGATTTATCTAGGAGAGAGAGGGGAACTTGAAACATTCAACTGCGATACATCTTGGTGTATTTTTTGTACTTTCTTTTCCTCATGGAAGTCATTATCACATGGTCAAATGCCATGTTTTTGCTAGGATACTAATATAAGTCTATGTAAATTATCTATTGGCGCTCTTAACTTTATTGTTTATATCCCCTTTTCTTCAATTCTGGTGCAAAGCCTTTTTATGATTTCAGCCCTTATTAATTCTTGTGTACAGCTGTGGGATTTAACAGCGGGCAAGCTGTTGCATGAGTTCAAAAGTCATGAGGGCCAGGTTCAATGCATTGATTTCCATCCCCATGAATTTTTGCTGGCAACAGGTTGGCAAACTATAGCCATTGAATTGATAGATCTGCCAAACTAATGTTCTCAATAGAATGCTGTCTGACAACTCTTTTGATTTGCTACTTCAGAAACTGTACATGTCATAATTCTGGTTGTAGAGCAACTTAAAAATTTGATAAATCACAATGGTGGGCTTGTTGAAGGCCCTGAACAGTAGTATTACTGATAATGTTTTGACAAAGTTGTGCCACATAACATCAAAACAGCATAAACATTTAAGAAGATGCAAAGACTAGACGGAAGGGTAATTTTAAATTAAAGGAATATAAATTAAAACCAATTGTATTTTTTATTTTTCTTACAAACAATTAGTATCAGTATAGATTATATTGAAATATTTATGCTCCATTCTTCATGTGTTTAAGTTTAAACCATTATTTTGAAGGCAGTGAAATAGTTTGTCAATTTTATACGTAAACCATTGCATTTCTGAAATTTCTCTGGAAGTTTTCCTTTTTTGATTCTTTAGAACTTATCAATTATCTGTAATTTAAACTGAGATTCAGGGTCTGTGCCTTTTATAAGACTTGAGTAGCTTTTCTGAATAGGATTTTCAGTGTGCGATACTGTTTGTTGAATTTTTATCTTACTGTGGAAGATGAAAAATATTATAGGAAGAAGATAGAATAAGAAGTGAGAAGGCATTAATGCCTACTGCCTAGAGTCCTTCAAACCCATAGGTTTCTTGATTCCAATAAATAGTGCCAAAATAGCTCTAGGAGGCTGTAAAATGTTCCTAGACCTGTTTATTATTATGTGCTGGGGAGTATTTTACATATCTTGAGAGCTTTTGAGTTTCAGAAGACTGTCAATAAAGCATTTTTGACTTCATGTGTTTCAAGTAAACTTGGATAACCTAAACAAGATGCTAAACATAAAGATACTACGAATTAAAAAAATGAGGCTCACCGCTTTTAGCTTTTGAAAGGTTCTATCATAACTGTGAAGGGAGGAAATATGGAGAATAAGTTTTTTGTTATTTGATTTCAAAGCTACATCATATTTTCATACAAACTTCTGCTTCCTTGTACATTTATGTCCCTCATGAAGTCACATTGATTTTCATTCATTTTCATAACCATAATCACGCTGTTCTTGAAGTCTGCTACAATAATTTTTTTTTTTTTTTTTTATTGACGGGGGAATCCTCAGCCACTACCCTTCAAGTGCGCACTGGGTAAACCCTCAAGCTGACGCAATAGCTTGCAAATTACGTACAATAATTTAATTTTTATCACCCTTAATATGGTTGCTGCTTATCACGATCTTAGTTTGTGATATCCACTCGTTATCCGCTCAATGTCTGGTTGAGGCTTAAAACGCATAGAAATCTGAGATGGTTACTTTGTGACTGGAAGAAACTTGAGGTCTTCGTTTTTTAAACTCGCTTAGAAATCTGATATGTTTACTTTCTGACTGGCGGAAACTGGAAGTCTTCGTTATTTAAACTCACTCCTGAACCTATATTACAGTGTTTGAGAATCAACTGTCCTTTTTTCTCCTTCGAAGCTATAGAAAATCAACTTTCACCCATATGTAAATGTATATGTACACACTCACACGCACATATTCCATTAGATCTAGTCGAGTTTGCCTTTGCTGATCATCGCCTAATAAATATTTAATGACCTTTCTTTTGGCAGGTTCAGCTGACAGGACTGTTAAGTTCTGGGATCTTGAAACTTTTGAACTAATAGGTTCAGCTGGGCCTGAGGTATCTTTTCTATGATGTCATTGATATCTTTTCCTAATCTTTGCTTTTTACAGCTTATTATGGGCCAAAATCTTTGCTGTTGCGTTCAAAGTATAAAACTAACCTTTTTAATTATCTGATGAATTTGAAATAACTAGTGATTACTTGTTTCAAATCAGTTCACAGGAGTGCGTTGTATGACCTTTAATCCTGATGGAAGAACCCTTCTTTGTGGCTTGCATGAGAACTTGAAAGTATGCTTTTGCATGCTTTATGTTTATTAGAAAATAATAGATTGAAGTACTGTTGTTTGTCTCACTTTTTCTCTACTAATTTTTGTTGTCGTAGGTCTTTTCATGGGAACCAATTAGATGTCATGATACTGTAGATGTGGGGTGGTCCAGATTATCAGATCTCAATGTTCACGAAGGGAAGCTTCTTGGATGTTCGTATAACCAAAGTTGTGTTGGAGTATGGGTTGTAGACATATCGGTATGATTTTTTTATTTTTTATTTATTTTTTTCAGAATGTCCACTGCTCTTAATCTTCTTCTTATTTGATATTTGAATTGATGATTATTTTGCAACCATGTGATTTTGGCAGCGTATTGAACCATATGAAATTGGTAGCGCTGCTCGATTGAACAGCAACTCAGAGCCTAAATCTAATTCTGGTGGGTCAACCATACTAACTGAGGACACTATTAAGGGCAATTTAGGCAGGCTTTCCATTTCACAAAATTCTGATTCTGCGAAGGAAACTAGACCTCTTGCAAGGCTTTCTGTCTCACAGAATTCAGATCTGAATGGGGACTCTAAATCTCTTGCACGTAAGCTACAATTCAATGTATCTCATTTGATTTGTGGTTAGTTTAGTAACCTTTTTTCAGATTATTCTTTTTTAGACTTCTTTAACAGCTTGATCTGGGATTTCTGTCATTTTGTCTGTCCATTTTCCTTTCTGTGCCGAGAAGATATATTGATGTTGTATGTTCTGCATGAAGCTGCTGTAAGTACAGCTGCAACTCCACAGAGGGGAAATCTTAGTGTTGTTCCAAGAACCACTCAAATCAATTCAATGGCAGTTACTAATGTGACAGCCCCCAAGAGGCACTCTGTAAAGGTCCAGTCAACAGCCAATATTTCAGTATTCAACAGATCAGAGGTTATACCTGTGCTTGTGCCCAGAAATAATCCGAGAACAGAGCAGGCTGCTGAACAAAGTAAAGAAGCAGCTCCACTAAGAACGCTGCCACTATCCATGCAGTCAAAGACATCTGATGTTCGAAAATTTTCATCTGCCAGAGATGACTTGGAGAGGTCTACTATTTCTTCGTTAACTGAAAGTGATGCCCCGACGTTTATAATTTCTAATGAGGTTCCAAATAGGAGTACTTTTACTGAAGCTAGAGGCTCAGTTATTGGGGTTCCTGCTGCTGAGAGAAATGCCAAGGATGATAAGCGTATGCTTTCTGGAAACGTTGAAACAAATGCAGCGGTTGACGCTCTTGCCATATGCCAGGGTGAAAGTTTTACGTATTTCTTTTCAGCATATCCTTCACCTTGTGTGATCTACTCTATGAATATGTGCTACATCTTGTCTTATCCTGCCTTGACTTCCAGTCGCTTTATGAATATGTGCTACATCTTGTCAAATGCAGCGGTTGATGCTGTCACGTAACGCCTCGTCAAGGTTCATTGTAAAATTGGTTGTATTATGGACCATTACACGTACAATGGGGCCTTATTTGGCGCAAGTCGAAGCTCGTGGATTTTTTGGTTG